CTTGTGCCAATTTGTGGAGTGTTGGAAAGTTGTGGCTTTAGTGGTAGTCGTACGACGTACCGGCCATTATTTGATCGAGTAGTTGTGGCTTTGTGGAAGTCTTCACAATACTGATCTTCTGGGGTTGTAATTGATATGAGGTGGCATTTTTCTAACTCCCAAAATTTTTTCAATTGTGAATTGAGGTATTCGTTTGAGATTTCCTCAACCTGAGTGGTCATGGTGGTAACTGGTTCCGAAACTAGTCCACTTAGGATCCACCCAAAAATAGTGTTTTGTGCCAGAAGTGTATTTGAAATCTCAATACCTTCGAGTATTATCTGTGGTATGAGATCGCTGCCTAATAGAAGGTCTATTTGAGCGGGAGTGTTGCAGTTGGGATCTGCTAGCTTTAGGTGTGAAACCTTTTGCCAATGCTTGCTATTTATGTGATAGCTTGGAAGCATATTTGTAAGTTGCGGTAAGACTATAGCTTCTGCTTGTATGTGTTTATCCGCTTGGGGGGAAATTAAGGTAATGGGGCAGATTTTATTAGAGTTTTGAAGTACTCTCCAAGTAGTTGGCTTGTTTTGTTGGCAGTTGTAGCCTATTTTGAGCCCTAGATGCTATGAAAGATCGTTGTGATCCTTGGTCTATTAAGGCCCTAAGTTTAAACAGTTCTCCTCGGTGTTCGATGGAGATGACTGCTGTGGGTAGTAATACCCTATTTTGTATTTCGCTGTGTAGCGTTTGAGTTTTTGTGCCTTTGAGCAACATGGTGTCTTTTGGCAATTTTTGAGATTTCGGTGTTTGGGAGTTGTTGTTACCACTAAACCTGTGGTAATTTTTGTATAAGCGCTTCTTTGGGGTGATATGGGAAATTTGCTGTAATGAAGCATTGAGTGGTGTCTTTTGTGACAATATAGTCAATTAAATTTGCTTTTGCAATTTTTATATGTATGCGCATGTGACAAGCAATTTGTACATAATTTTTTTGATCTCACGAAATAGTTTCTTTCTATAATTTTTAATTTTTTGAATTTCTCGCAAGATTGTAGTTTATGCCCTCTCGTGCATAGTTCGCATGACGTATGATTATTTTGTTCGGATGTGAACGATTGAGATTTGTAAAAGCTTCTGTTTAATTTATTTTTGCTACTAGCTTGAAGCTTCTTTTTTGGTCGTGTTGTACATTTTTTGTTTTAATTAGCTTTTTGTCTACCCTTTCAGCGATTTCGTACTGGGTAGTAAGAAAGTCTTTCATTTGTTGCCACGTGGGGCATTTCTTTCGTGATGAGAGCGATTACTCCCATAAAAGTAACGATTTTTTTGGTAATGCGGCGGTGCATATGTTTACCAGTATAGGGTCCCAGCTGTCTGTGGGAATATTTTGTGTCGATAAAACCGACAAACAGTTTGAAACAGTGGATTGTAGTCTTATAAACTCTTCACTGGTTTCTTTTTGAATTTTTGGCAAGTTTATTAGTGTCGTTACTTGGTTATCGACCAATATTCTTTCATTTTCATATATTGCTTTTAGAGCTTCCCAAGCCAAATTGAAATTGTCGTCATTAAGTGCGAACTGTTTGACTATTATGCCTGCTTGACCTTTTGTTTTGTATCGGAGGTGATACAATTTTTGCGCTTTTGATAATTTTGGATGGTTGATGTATACGGCAGTGAACATGTCGCGGAAGGACGGCCATTCTTCATAACCTCCATAAAATATTTCTGTGTCACATGCGGGCACCTCGAGATGGATGCTGATGTGGAGTAGGTGCAATTGCTTTTATTAGCTTTAGTTGATCGGAGATCATAGCTTTTGTAGCTTCGTACTGGTCTAAGCAGTTTTCGTATAGTGCGTAAGCCGATAATTTAAAATCGTGTGGTAGATCTGAATTGTCATAATCTACTATGGCGTCATGAGCCGTTTGGAGACGAGTCCAAAAATTGTCAATATTTTGTTTTTTTATTTCCAATAACGATTCAGAGATGTCTTGAATCGGTGAAAATGAAAATCGAGTGCAGTATCGTGTTAATCTGTCACTCTCAGAAATGAATTTGGTGGCACAAATATTTTTGCCTTTTGTTTGCTTTGTGGTAACCTGTCTTGCGCGTGTAGCTTCTGCAGGTGTAATTTGAATTTTATCCACATTCATCATTTTTTTTTGTATGTTAAAATATTTGTCAAAATTTTTAAAAATTTTCTCAGTGTAAACTGTATTTACTAGCAATATGATTTTGTTGTGGTTTTATTTTGAATGTATTGCTTTAATTAATTTAATTATTAAAAATCGCACTTTATACCAATATATGTATACATATGTATGTATGTAAGTATGTTGTTGGTTATATTTTTTTTTTGTTTTTGATAATTTTCAAATTGAATTCGTTTTCACTTTACCGCTGTTAAATTACTTGCGAATTTAAAGTGTATACTTTTACAAATTATTTTAAATTTTAATTTAATTATTCCCAGTGTAGAGTAAAAAGGGATAGGCAAATTCTATGCCGTATGATTTTATGTAAACGCTCGTTCGTATGTTCGCAATACGAAGAGAGCGCGAAATGAAATTGGAAATTTGCAGGTATTTCCCAAAGCAATTATGTATAAATGTATGTTTGTAAGCTAGTTTTATATTTATGCTTATTATGCACTTTGTAAATATGTTTTGTATGTACCTATACGTATATTAAGAATACATATATCGATATACTATTTGTTGATGATGTATGTATGTATATGTTTTGCGCTTGGCAATTATATGTCATTTGTAAACATGGATTATGTACATATACTTGTATGTATATATTAGACCAAAGGGGATATGTATGTTTTTGGTTTGTTTTTATTTTGGCTATTTTCTCTCTTGTTTTTTGTGTTATAATTTTAATTTTGCCTTTGCTTACTTATTTATAGCAATCCTGCTTACTGCTTTATTAAGCATAAGGGGTATTGCCGGACAAATTTGCAAGTAAATACTTGAATAATATTTTTTAGGTTTTTTGTGTTTGTGGAATGGGTGTGCTTGTATACATTAAGATAAGCATAAGGGCATCCGATAATTATTTATTTTTAATTGTATATATATTTGGATATATATTGTACCAAACTGTTTTCGGTTTTTCTAATCAAAATAAGTTTGAAATTATGATAGTTTGGTAACCGTTTTATATGTTGTTAAAACGGCTTTTTATTAAGAGTTTTTTAGTCAGTAAACCCGTGTTTAAGCATACATATTTACATATAGGATATAAAAGTTGAAATCAATACGCTCACTCTGTTTTGTTTGTCTATATGTATGTATGTGCGTGTGGTAATATTCCTGTGTTCCTCTCTGAAATGCTTCCAGCTGGTATGTCTAGTGATGTTGTTTGTGTGTGTATTGTTTTTATGCTTTTAAATTCGCGCCCGTTTTTTTGTTTCTATTTATATTTTGTGTTTAAGTGCTTTTAGGTTTCGCGCCCGATTTGTGTTTTAGTTGTTTTTTGTTTTTTGCTTAAACAGTTTTGTATATTTTGTTTTTCACATGCACTTTGGTTTTGTCTCTTCTCCCTTTTTTAACTATGTATGTATATTTGTCAATATGTAACTATTATTTTGCACCGCTCTTTTGTATTATTTTTGTTACATATATGCTTGTTTACTTATCTGTATGTATGTTGTTTGGGTCACCGAACTTTATAACCGACAGTTTATACATATATTTGGATTTTTTTTTTTTTTATTATTTTTTTATTTTTTTTATATTTTTTTTAATCCATAGTGCCGCTCACTATGGCTCGAAGGACCATGTATAAATCAGACACTTGCACAAACCATCGTAAATAAAAATGTCCGAGTAATAAGTGCAAACTTTAAATTATTTATGAATATATTAAAATATTAAATTGACGCTACAAATGTTCGTGCCGAAAACTGGAGGCGGTGAAGATCCAAAACTACGTTCGCGAAACGAGTTTGGGTTTGCGAAAAGTATGGTATGCGCGCAGGATCGCTATTACTTCGAATGTGTTGAATTGATGATCCAATCCCTCTTTTTGTTGATTGTGCGGGGTGTCATCGTGTATGGTGGTAACTTCTGTGGTGACATCGTGTGCAGTGTGGTCGTGTATGTTGTGAGTGCGAGTTGTGTTCCAAGGTGTGGTGTGTTGTATTAGGGTGTGACATTATTTACCCTGATGAAGCGGTGTAGTTGGAAGGGGAGTTTATAGTCATTTAAACACTGATGTATTGTATGCATAGATATTTCGTTTATATAATATATGAGCCGTTGATGATATTACATTCAACGGACGTTGTATTTATTTTTGTTATATCCACTGGATTGTCAGTGTAATGAACATTCCCTGGTTCCAATATTCTTTTACTAAAACCTAGCAATGGACCAATTGAGTATTTGTTTTCAAAATTAACTTCTTCGTTATTGATCATAATTACGATTCGAAATGTATTAGGGTTAGCTTGTATATCAATAAACCATAGATTCAAAGGTTCATATGCGTTGGTAATTTTCTCAACTATATCATCCAGTTCATGTGTTCCAATAGATATCTCAATAACACTCGAACCAATGTGAAACATATTATTTTTTTTTCTACATTTGGAATTGTATGATACGAGTCAAAACTTATTAACTCACAAACATAATCTTGTTTGAGTTCTATGGTAGGAAAATAATTTGCAACCAGTATAGACGAATTACCATTTAATGTTACTGTAATCGACATGTTGCTAGGTTATCATAAAATATAATACTTAACTAAAATTATTTTTAAAAAACTTTTTTGTTTATAATACATACATATTTCTTTATTTTTTTTAAATTTAAGTCACTAACATTCACCCAGGAAGTTTAGAAGAGAATCCTAACCATTTAACATAAACTCTATTGTTTCGACGGCTCAAAAATTTTTCAACTAAATATACATAAGGGAGTTTAGTTTTTATTAGTTCATATTCGTAGAATCCCCCCTTAATAGTATTACCTTGATAGTCTTTAAGTATATATGTTGTTGGATTTGTGGTTTTAATTGATTTTATTTTAAAAATTTCTGTTGTCCAATTTGGTGTATACCCCTTTTCAAATACATGTTTATATTTACTTATTCTAACATCATCATTTATCTTAACTTTTGGCCCATGAAAAGCTTTTAAATTGTTGTATGCAGTGTCCAATAAATGTTGTTCATTCGAGGAATTTACCTCATTTGGAGTCATTCTGATGGTCCTGTGAATAGTATTATTATAATCATTGACTAAATTTTAATAGATGTCAATCCATTTATAAGTTGACCGAAAACTTTCCACATTATTCCTTTTAATTGTCGCTCTATTATTTTGGGTTGGCAACTAAGTAATTGCGGACTAATTCCAAGACAATTTTTTCATGGAACTAAATAACTTTATTCTGTAATGTATTGCCCATTTTGATCAATGACCTTTTGCCATCTTTCAGGCAGCAAATTCTGGTTGTTATTAGCAAAAAACTGAATCAGGTACGATTTGATATCATCATCATTATTGAAATTTTTACTATTCAAGGAGTTTTGTAAAGATCGAAACAGAAAGTAATCCGATGGTGCAAGGTCAGGACTATATGGTGGATGTGGCAAAACATTCCAACCAAGCTCTAATAATTTTTGCCGAGTGACCAAAGATGTGTGTGGCCTTGCATTGTCATGATGGAATACAACACCTTTTCGATTTATCAATTCGGGCCGCTTCTCTTCAACTGCATTGTTTAATTTCGTTAGTTGTTCAATGCAGCCAAGTTGTTTTAGTTCATTTTTAATGCATATATGTAATCAGACGTGTTGTACTGTGAAGATTCGAATCGATTATTGCTTTGAATAGGTCGTCATCAACTTCAACTGGACGACCAGAGCGTTTTTCATCTTTGAGTGAAAATCACCAGAACGAAATTTGGCAAACCAATTTTGACACTGCACTTTTTGTGAGCTTGCGATGCGTTTTTCCCTTTGCGAAAATAAAAAAGCAAAATATGACGAAAATGTTCTTTTTGATCTTCCATTTTACAACGAACGCCAAACGAAAACTACGCAACCGATCAAAGAACTTTTTTTTACAGATTGACAGCTGAATTGCCAAATATCAAATAACAAAATGTGTTTTACATTTGGACTACGCCAACAAACCTAAAAATTTAACTGAAGCCATCTATGAGTGAAATCCGCAATTACTTAGTTGTCAACCCAATAGATGCTTTTAGTGATGAAAATGTTGAATAATGATTGATATTTTTTGTTTGAAATAATCTCTTAAAATTAGTATTATAAAATTGATTTCCATCATCTGGTTTGTAGGTGTTTCGGTATTCGGTTACTTGAGTTTAAAATCTTTGCCATTGCATTTGTTACATTTTCTTTAGTTTTATTTTTAACTGCTTCGACCCAAGCTTTTTTGGAACATGTATCGATTACAGTTAAAAGATATTGATATTGGTGATTACTATTTGAATACTGAGTTCTTACCACCAAGTCAGCTTGCCATAAATCATCGAGCATCAAATAATCCTCAATAGTTGATAAATAGTTGTTTATATTATACAATTCTTCCCCACATGCACCTTTTATTCGTTGGTTCATTAGATCCTTAATGAATTGATACATAATTTTTAATACTATTATTTAGAATTCATATTTGATGTTTTAATTAGTTTTCCAATCATCGTCTTCCATAGGAGCAGCTAGGTTACCCTATTATTGTTAAATGAGGAATGACCAAATTTATTTATACTCTTATTATTTAATAATACTTGCTTTTCGCAACTCTTCAATAATTGGTATAATCTCGTTGTGATGGTTGTTATGACCGGCACTTGTTGAAGATAAAAGCAATCTAAATCTATCCACCAACCCGTTAGGGTTATCCCAATATTGATAAATATTTTTGCAGCAATCGATTAATTTCAGTAAACCTCTACTACTTATGCACGAGTTTGGATTATAATTGAACAATTTCCGGATAACATATAGATATTTAAATGATTTTTTCCTTTAATTTGACTATTTGGGTTATAATTACGTTTGTGAGCACTTATATTCAATAAAATCTGTTGATAAGTCTTCAAATCACACTTTTTATAATGTTGTGGATTTTTATGAAATATTAACTCAAACAGACCTGGCGTCATTTTCTATTTATCTATTCCAATCTATATAACATCTTTAGAATTAAGTTTTTATGGTTTGAGTCTAAATCACCATCGACCATTTGAATCTCTGTTCGGAATATACAATATATCAAGCATTTTATGATCAAGCAATTTTATGCTTTGTAATAGTGAACGGGGGTGAGTAAGCTTAACCCGTTTAAAGTCTTCATTTAGTTGATTTTCAGACTGATTTTTTACAAATTTATGTCTTTCCCACAGATCAGGATCTTCTTCGATTCTTCTTAAAATATCATTTTCAGTTGGAGAAGTATTACCATTATACGTTATTAGAGTTTTTAAAAGTATCAACTAATTCATTTAATGGTTTTGAAATGTTTTGAATTCTCCCAATTTCATTCTTTTAATTTTTTGTTTTAATACTTTCCTTTTCTTAGAAATATTTGCTAATACAACCATATGACTATTTAACATGATCTTTAATGAGTGAGTGAGAAATCTGCCACCTATCAGTTTTACAAGTATAATATATCTGATACGAATCTGGTCTGGTATATGTTTTTATAAATGTTTTATAACTGTATAAAATTATCAAAACCCTTTCGATATTGACTATTGTTTATAGGATTATCTTTACTTATAACAACAAAACCGTATTTATTTCTCCAAGACTCGACACAAATTTTTATACTCTCGCAACCTGTTGCTACAGAGTATAATAGTTTTGTTCACCTAACGATTGTTTGTATCACCTAAAACTAATCGAGTTAGATATAGGGTTATGTATATATAAATGATCAGGATGAAGAGACGAGTTGAAATCCGGGTGACTGTCTGTCCGTCCGTCCGTCTGTCCGTCTGTGCAAGCTGTAACTTGAGTAAAAATTGAGATATCTTTATGAAACTTGGTACACATGTTTCTTGATACCGTAAGACGATTGGTGTAGCAGGTGGGCGTCATCGGAACACTGTCGCGCCCACAAAACGCCATTCATCAAAAACAAATAAATTGCCATAACTAAGCTCCACAACAAGATACAAGACCCTTATTTGGTATACAGGATCACATTAGGGTGGGGCATCTGAAGTTTAAATTTTCTTTAAGTGGGCGTGGTCCCGCCGCCAAATAGGTTTAATGTGCATATTTCCTATACCACTGAAGCCATAATTAAAAAAATTCACTGGGAACAAATATTTTAGCATCTTTATCGACGGTGTGAAAATAGTTTAAATCGGGTGGCAACTCCGCCGACTCCCCATATAACGGTACTGTTAAAAACTACTAAAATCGCGCTAAATCAAGCACTAAACACGCCAGAGACATTAAATTTTATCTCTGGAATGGTATGAGATGACTTTATAGGAACCGCGTTCAAAATTAGACAGTGGGCGAGGCACAGCCCACTTTTAAGTGAAAACCCATATCTTGAGATCTGCTCAACCGATTTCAACCAAATTCGGTGCATTACGTTCTTTTCATATTTCTATTTCATAGTGCGGAAATGGGCGAAATCGGACTACAACCACGCCTATTTCCCATATAACACCATTTTCAATTTCATCTGATTCTTTCACTTTCCACTATGCAAATCAGGGAACAATGACTGTATCGGGATAAAACTTTGCGTGAATAATGCAATTAAAGTATGCCATCTTGTGGCCAAAAATTGACTAAATCGAACCAAAACTGTTCAAGCCCCTAGTACTAAATATGTGGACCCCAGTGCCTATAGTTTACCTTCTATCAAAAATATTATATCAGTCAATTCACAAAGAAATCTCAAACGAGTATACTATTTGACTTTGCGAGAGTATAAAATGTTCAGTTATATCCGAACTTAGTCCTTCCTTACTTATTAAAAATGTTTTGTATAACATATCTTCAATAACATGGTCATTATAGATATGCTTAAGATTCATTTCATCTTGCTTGAACACAATAATCATGTTTGCATTATCACGAATTAAGTGTTTAGAAATTTTTTTATAAGTTTGACATAAATAAAAATTATCAATGTTTTTATGACGACCCATACAAGAATAATCTCGTATTGTTCTTTGTTTTCCACATATTACATCATCGAATATAAAAATTGAGTCCGGTTTGACTTCATTGACTTCAGTGGGCTTGATCAACGATTTCACTAAATGTATAAAGATTTATTAATTTTATCGGTTCAATAAGCCTTTTTAGATAGATATATTTCGGCTGACATAATGATTTTGAATAAATTCTATATTTCGGAAATTAAGCCCGTTTGGGCTTTCAATTAAACTGAGCATAACATTAGTTTTTCCCCAATTTGGTGGTCCCACAATTAGCGCTCGTATGGAATTTAGTAAAAGTGGACTATGTCTACTAACATTTTTATCATATATATAATCAGCATTATTAACCTTAAGTTGGAGACGTTGTTTACTTACGTTACTAGATTAAAAGCAATATAAACCATCATTTTTATAATAAAGACATCATTTAATTATAACTCGCCCACACTCACCAAATCACCTAATGGGACTAATACATAAAAAGATTGGACAGGGTTTTGTAAATATTTCGAGTAATTCTTTGCCTATTGAAGGCGGATATCAATTTTGTGTTTTGTCAAAACTCCGACAACGGCAAGAAAGAGGAGATAGAGGTATAAATCCTTTAGATGCAGCCTGCAGAGAACATGATATTGCATATTCCCAAGCAAAATATTTTAATTATATATAAGCAAATTATCTATATATCTATATAAATATCAGACATTTAGCTGATCAAGTTTTATCTGAGAAAGCCTGGCAGCGTGTTACAATACATCTAAGGACAGTGATTTCAAAGAACGAGCAAACGCTTGGTTCGTTACAAATGCAATGAAATGAGCAAAACTCAAATTGAAAATGGGTATTAAAAGTAAGAAAATAAATACATCTAAATGTAAAAAACGTAAAAAGATTAAAAAAGAAAAAGTATCATCTAACAAATTGCTTTTGATGGCAGTTATAAAAGGTATCAACATGCTTAACAAAGAGAAGCCGCAGTCATTTATTGAGGCTTATAAAATTTCTCAGGATGCTATAAAATCTAGCTTTAAAAATAAAAAAAATTAACATACCATCATTATAAAAACTCCTCAAGCCATATAAAAAAAACGACCCTATCCAAAAAACTAATTAACATACTACCCAAATTAGGGGCGGGAGCACGCCCACTTTAAAAAAATTTTTTAACTGCAGATGCCCCTCCCTAATGTGATCGTGTGTATCAAATAACAGTCTTGTATCTTAATGCGGAGCTTAGTTATGGCAATTTATTTGTTTTTGATTAATGGCGTTTTGTGGGCGTGGCAGTGGTCCGATTACGCCCATCTGCAATACCAACCGTCTCACGGTACCAAAATTCGGAAATTTCAATTCGTCTCTTCATTCTGATCATTTATATACATATAACCCTATATCTAACTCGATTAGGTGATACAAACAACCGTTAGGTGAACAAAACTCTGTAGCAACAGGTTGCCAGAGTATAAAAATATATTGATTTAAATAATTATCATAGAACATTAGCAGCAAATAAGCTTGAAGAAAATTTCTTTAAATTATTAAATAATACGGTGTATGGAAAAACTATGGAGAATGTAGATAAAAGAGTTGATATTAAATTAGTACAAGATTGGGAAAATAGTCGTATTGGGAGAAGCGGTAGAAAAAAATTAGGTTCTAGAGCCCTAATAGCAAAACCAATTTCCATAGTCTAAGCAAATTTTCTGATAATTTAATAGATTCAAATGAAACAAGTGTCAATTCTGTACAATAAACCAATATGTATTGGTTTTACCGTTTTAGAACTTTCTAAATTTAAAATGTATAGTGTCCATTATGATTATATCAAAGAGAAATTTAAATACAATATTGCTTTGAATTATGTGGATACTGATTCATTTATATATGATATTCAAACTGATGATTATAATGATATTCGTGTTGACATTTCAAAGTTTTTCGATACTTCTTCATATCCAATAGAAAATATCGGTTGAATAAGAAGGGATGATGAAGGATGAATGTAATGGAAACTTATTAAAAGAATTTATTGGTTTAAGAGCGAAAATGTATTCATTTAGAATTGATAACGATATAAATGAAACTAAGAAAATTAAGGGAATAAAAAAGTGTGTAACTTCAACATTGAGTTTAAGTGATTTTAGAGAATGTCTATTGAAAAATAAAGTGTATAATGTATATATTTATATCTAAATTATATACGGTTTATATTTAAAATATTTATAAAGTAGCTCTAAGCAATATAGATGATAAGCGAATTGTACGGGAAAATCATATTGATACTTATGCTTATGGTCATTTTGAAACATTATATTAGTAGTACTCTATTATGCAATATAAGAAAAAAATTAAAAACGAAATTAACAGTTTATATTATACAATGTTTATTTTTTATTAAATAAAAATTCTAAACATAATTGACCACATATTGCTGTGATATATTTTTGTTTCTGTAATATATTGGAGGCTTCAGGTAATTAATCAGTTCTATCGGTGGCTGTAAATTTCCAAAAATTATCAAAATATTCTTTATAA